CTAACTGATAGCATCCAAATTAAAATTACTAACATTTTTATATCAATTACAAATTGTTATTTTTTATAATAGTTACAAACCCTAGTTGGTTTAGAGAACTGTCCGAAAATACGTTATTTCCTCTATCATTGATAACTATTCTGATTTATATTTTACAAAAAGCTGATTCTTAAGAGTGCTCAATGGAATATGAATACTTCCCACTAACAGAGTAGATTACCATTATTTTTATTCTTGGGTATTAATAAATATCATCATAATCGTTTACTCAAATAAATCGAATTCCACTGTTACAAAGTGAAATATCTTTCTAACTTTAACTGATAAAAGGACAGAAATCGCTGCATCATCAAATTACTAAAGCTCTATATTTTAAATTTCGTCCCTTATTAGAGCGTATCTGATTTTTGTTCTTTCAGAAAAAGTTGTGTCCCCTCTGGTGGAGAATGGCGAATGATAGAAAGTTATGGTCAGGTAATTAATCAATTCCCTGTAGGATTGGTCACCTGGGAAGATTAAACTATTACCACTAAATTGAGGCCTGTGAGGATGTGAAGTACACAAATGTATATATCAAATTGGCTGAATGGAGTTCTTTTTCATTCAGTCTCATAACATTGTTACTTTTTGACAGAACGTTCCTCTAGTTAGAGGAACGACTATGCATGCCAACCTTAATTATATAATGAAGAGAAGAATAGTTGGGGTGATCAGTCAAATAAGAAGGCCGACGTTTCGACCTGAAGTTCAGGCCTTCATCAGGGCTGTCTCCAACAGTGTTGCAGGGAGAAAATGATTTTTTCTCCCTTAAAATAAATTTTTCTCCCTGCAACACTGTTGGAGACAGCCCTGATGAAAGCCTGAACTTCAGATCGAAACGTCGGCATATTTTTTTTTTTATTATTTTTTTTTTTGTTCTTCCCTACCTCGCCTTTTAGGCTATACGGGATTTTCCCGGGCCGGGGCTGAGGGCGGGGAAATTTAAAATCCCCTCCGGCACCGGGACGCGAACTCGTACTTTTTATATCATCTCAAATCTCTGTTATCCGGCTGCCAGGCAACTAGCGGTGCTGTTACACATTCGGCCACCCCGCTCCCTTAAAACGTCGGCATATGTAAAAATAAATATTATCATTTATTTTTGCCTTCTTATTTGACTGATCACCCCCAACCATTCTTCTCTTCATTATCCACGACAGTCAACCATTTACCAATTCTTAATTATATAAGTAAAAAAGAACAAAAAAAAATATTTGTTTGATTTTTTCATGGTTGATCGACGATGTTTTCTGTTAGCGAGCATCGATGCCTCATCTAATAGGTCAGAGAGTTTTTAAAATCTTATTTTATCAAGTCATAAACTATTAATTTTGTCTCTATACACTTCGGTATGTTGATCACCATATCTTTTGACGAAAGACCTCCGTCGTCTACAGCTTGTAATGAACAGCTGAAGAATTCCAAGATAACTGTCTACAGAAAAAAACAACAAGAAAACAAGTTTTAAATGTGGTGCCAACTTTTATTCTGCGATATTTAATTGTCGAATAAAATGTAATATCTTATTCGGAATGGTTGAGGTTGTAGTTTATTGGACATAAAACCAAATTGCCTGAAGCTGTTGGATAAAAGTCGATTTTTTTATCCGACCTCAGCCACCTCGATAGACGAACCTGCCGGACAGGTTCTGAACCACTTCCGGTGTAGACCGGTCCTCGAGGCAATCGGAATAAAAAAACGGATGCTCCTCGAACTATCGATAATGACGTATCAATTGATATCAATGGTCATCGATGTCGTAGTATATAAAGTCAGTTGTCAATATTGATTTTTATTAATTGAATGAGGAACTTCCCAATATTATTATTGTGTTGACTTGTGTTCTATCTTTTTCGACTATATTTCTAGCCACAGATAGATCCAAAGTCTACCGATAATGTACATTACATCCTTCAGATTAACTTCATTAGCAACAATCTTTGAAATCAAGGAAGTAGGACTCTTAAGGTTAAATATCTTGCCAGTTTGTACTAGAGACATGAGGTTTACTATAGCTCCTTTGACTATTTTTCTTAATTTACGGGACACCCTAGATACGGAATTGAATTAATGTAGATGGCAATTTATTCTTCAATTTCTTAACACGCATAGCAAACAAAACTCCTACTAAATTTGCAAGGTGAGGCTACTTTCCTAGTAAAACATAACTCAACCACAATTCCAACTTTCTTCGAGAAACTTAACCTTGTAAAAGGGACTATTAAGTGTGGTGATATCCTTTGGTGGTTGAAAACCAAAATACTTAACTACTGCTCTAGTGCCCTCTATCAGTCTCCAATGGCTTTCAATACTCAGTGACGCGGTTGGGAGAGAAGCGCCGGGATCTTCTGGTCCTTGTTTGCGTTCAACATGTGGAGGACAAAGGTTGTCTCGGAGGCTCCTGTGTGAATGCAAATATTGCTCATAGGTATGCCTGTGTTTTATTTATTTTAATTTTACTCAACTTCAATCTATTGTTTTTATTTAGTTTTTATCTCTTAAATAACATTATTATTATTATTACTTTTTATCTATTAATTCTCCTTCAAATTGATATATTGTGTTATTACTCAATAAATTTGTTTTATTAAGACAAAAAAAACAAACTATAATTTACAACTAAACTTTGTTCGAGAAACATAAACGTGTAAAACGGTCTTGACATTTGCTGCAGTCTATCATATGAAGGCAGATTCATTTTTTAAAAATCCTTTTCATTCCCCGAACAAAATAGATTTGTTAAGTCCACAATAATTTTGAATTATCAACGACTGTCCAAAAAACATGAACGTGCACATAAATTATTATATTACTGTTTTTACTTATCAGTGACTTTTGAAAACAATTTTATAATCGAGTCATTGTTTTTAGTGCTTGCAATTATTATTAAAAAAACCTAGTTGTGCTCTTTAATACTACATATCATAGTTTTCATTATTATATTGCGTCACTTAAAATAAAAACTTTGATATTGCCAAAGGCATAGTTTTTTGAAAATGTATTTAGCTTTTTTGTTTGTTTTATTTAATTATTCAGGTATTTTTTTTATTTATTTTCATAAACGTTCATAAATACGTTTCTACGGGGTATGTAAAAATCGTACATTGTTTCAGGGAAGAAATAATAGTTTGAAATGAGATAAAACATATTATCAATAATATTATAATTCATTCTCATGAATGAGAAGTAATAATTTTTAATTACGTTTGTTTTTCTAATTTACTCTGAAACGTTAGTCCTTTTCTATCTTTTCTCGCTGATTTATTATTCTAATCAACAATTAGCAGCTAAATTAATTGGAAATTTATTGGCTTTCACGAAAATAATTAATAAGTACTGTAATAAATTTATTTCATTTCTTTTCGGTGCCTGTTTCATTAATTTAACAAATCCTTCATTTGGGACTAAAATCTTCATCTGTTGATCCAGAAGTTCTGTTTTCAATATTATGAAGTTACTATAATTACTGATATAAATGTTAACAATCGTGAGCGAAGTGACTCGCATGTGAGTGATACATCAACTGTTCATCATCACTTAACAGCTGTTTGTTCACAACATCGTTACAGCCGTCGTCTTTTCCTTTCAATGGAGGATTCACGCTAGCGGAAAACGGAGTAATTTTCCTTCCCAAAATAACCATTGAAACTAAAAATATACCTATTTGCTGTTAAATAGGTTGCTGTTAAAATAACTGTGAATAAATTATTATATATCAGTTAGATTAAAATTGATTCACCTTTTAAGAAATCGGTCGTGGATGCGTAAATAAATTTAATTAATCAAGTTGTAAACTAATGAGCTTTTTTAATCCTACGACAATTGATTTTAAATAGTTATATATATGAAATAGTTAAAACATCGATTTATTACAATACCTTTCAAAGACAGGAGGGCTGCCCAAATGTGAGACCAAGACGAATCTTGGTCTTGCGCGAGTTACCTATTAGCCTATTACTATAGAAATATTACTGTAATTTTTCAGATAGGTGAAACCTAAATAAGAACGAATGAAAAATTGGAAAAGTTAATTTGTTGTACCAATTCTCTACATACAGTGACTAAAATTATCAAGTATTACTAACTATTTTGCCTTAATTTTTATTCACAAAAATGATTTTTTTATTTTTTTTTAAATGACTTGGTCTTTATCTTGCACTTTGCAAGACCAAGACCGATTTTGGGCAACACTAGTATTCACGCAAGTTGTGATAATAATTTATAAGGAATTGAAGAAAACGTTCTCTTCGAACTTCCTTGGATTTTCATTCATTATAGGAAAAGTTTTTTGTTTTGTACAAAATTCAATATTTTCCGGATTTGTTCCGCAGTATTTTATTACATTCACATGCTAATTTTGTGGCGATGAGCTTCACGCCCAAACCTCTACTGCACTTGTAGTAAACAAAGGGGAGAACTTCGTAATAAACTTACACGTGCATTTACGAAATTAGCACCAGTTGCTGCTATAAAACATATTCCAGACCTTGTTAAAATCGAGTGAGCTAGTGGCCGTATTATCACACAAATCTTAAATAGGAAACTTAAAGAATCTTAAATAAGTTCTCGACTTTTTGTTTTTTTCTTTTTTTTTCCTCTTTCTCGACTTTTCGGCTATACGGAGATTTTCCTGAGCCAGAGGAGAGGACGGGAGATTATAGCCAAAGTTAAAAGTCCCACCGGACATTAATCAAGTTTCTCGACTTCATTATTTTCATTACGTTTTGTTCATTTCATTATTTTTAGTTGTAGATTTGAGTCGTGGCTTTGAACCATTGATCTTTATAGAGCATCCTTACTTTTTGAACGATGAATTAAAAATACTTCTGGATTTTCTTCCAGGAGGAAATTCCGTTTCCTATAGTTTCTGATGCCTTTTAAAAACGTTCAAGCTATTCCTGTAAATTAACAGTTTAGATTAAATTTAAAAAGCCTCATCCTCCATTAAAGCCCACGTTGACCTAGGGGAGAGCGGCAAGGCCTGCGCCAAAAGTGGCCAGTGAACCTCCGGCTGGCGCAGAGTCGACGACCGCACAAGAAACCGGTTCTGACGCAAGCAGTCCCTTTGTTTGTAGCTGCGCTTGGGGCTCTGTCTGTATGTCCGAGGGCCTTTTTGTTATTGTTTTATCTTGTGCTTTTTTCTGGCTGACGTATAAATTTGTTGGCTTTATAGGTTCTCCCTTATCTTCCCAACTCTGTAGCGGCTTGTCTTCAGGTTGAGGTAGCTGCAGAACAGCTAATTTATTTATTTATTTTTATTTATAGCTAATTTATTTTCTCTAGACTATGCACGGCCAACGTGGATAGTTATTTTTGGACAAGGCCGAAGATAGGAAGAGGGGCTGCTGGGGCTTTAGGACCGAGGCCTGGGATCCGGCTTGAACCAAAAGGTTTTAATTTTTAACTTCTAAATTTAAATAGGGAATAGATAAAGGTGGTACAGTGTTCTATCCATCCCAAAGCACTATCTTTGAGACACTAAGGGCTAGGCTGTTGAGAGAAACCGGAATCTATGTCCTTACAGAAAACGGTTTTACACAGGTTACTGCAGAAAATTACGCGTACTTTAAATATTGGGTATATGGGGAGGAGTACAGTTGGCTTAACCCACTTCAACAAGACCTAATCATGAAGGGCGACCGGGCGGAGAAAGTGTACAAGATGATGAAGACTAAAAAAAAAACGCTGCAAATTATTACACAACGGTTTATTATCTCCAAACGATTATACATCTAAAGTAACATTACCTTCCGAGTTACAAAGAAAAAAAAAATAAAAGGTGATTCCAATTATTGGACTAAACTGTTTTTCTTTAATCATTAGTAATATGCTAAAAAAAAAAAAAAATAGCATTAGTTCAGTAACACATTTAAGATTTAAAAACCAAACCAAGGATATCACATTTGGAGTAGAACACATAAAAATAACCGGAGACCATATCTTTGCTCCTAATTGTCCGATTTTTTTTGTTTTTTAGGAAATTTCGTAAACTTTTAAAAAACTATTCGATGAAACTTCCTTCATTTTTTAGGAAATTTAAATACTTTTGAAACATCTCATCACAATATCAACAAAAAAGTAAAAACTTTTCGAGTTATTCGGAATTTAAATTTACCATCACTCGTAACTTTTTTTCCAGCTTGTTTTCGTTGAAGTATGTTATATAGATAAATTTAAAGGGCGTCAAGAAAATGACTTTAGCGAAGTTTCATTGAAATCTGTACATTCGTTTAGGAGCTACAGTCTATAGCAACGCAGGTTTTTCGGCCGCCATTTTGAAAGATGAAGGCGGAGAGTAATTTCGATGAAGGAGGATCATCCTCGGGTGACCTCTGATTTTATATCAAAATTTGAAAAAAATCAGTCCAGTAGTTTCGGAGAAAATGCGCGGACGGCGGACGGCCAAAAAAATTTTTATTCGTTTTTCTAATTCTACGCGTCTTGAAACGTGAAACCTCAAATTTTGAGAGGGGGTTATGTTTTTGAATTTTTTGGTCGATCGCAATGTTTCATTATTGAAAATAATAAACCAAAATCTAATCTCTATACAATAGTAATTTTTTTATTATTTTTGTTTATTTGTAGCATTAATAAGTCACCCACACGTGCGTAAAAATCAGCTGCTGCAGGGTATTGCTCATAGCGGGGTAAGATGTAAATAAACAAATAATAAATAATTAGTATCTACCCCACAATCCGATATAGTGCTTGGTCACTAACGAAGAAATAACAGGAGAAATTGTATCATATGACCTAATCTAACGGAAACTTTTAAGGAGTATGTTAGGGATCAAAAGGAGGGAAAACGTAAAGGTATCCATTCTTATGCAAAAAAGTAAAACATTTATATAAGAAAGCCAAGAAAATAAATTGGCACATAACTGTGCCATTAATCCCCCGCCCTCATCTCTCACCCTGGAAAATCCCCGTATAGCCTAAAATCCGAGGAAGGACAAAAAAAAAAAGTAAAAATGTAAAAATACTATGAGAGTTGACTTAATTTGGAAACAATTATTCAATTTTTTTTTATCTTCAAATATTTATCTGTGACTGTCGACGAGCTGTTGAAAATCCTGCAGATAGTTTGATGAAAGTAATAAAATTGTGTCAAACATGATGAAGGATAGTACCCAGCAGTACCTCTTCTCTGGCTTGAATCAATTACTATAGTTTGTTAAGGAAGGAGGTCCTGATCCTGCGCCTGTGGCATGTCAACAAAAATATTTTGTTAGTGTGTTAGTATGTCGATGTGAATTAGTATAAAATCTTTTGTAAAGTGTTCTTATGTGTTGGTCCACCTGTAGGCAGGTGGAAGTCGATATCTAAGGTTTTCTATTCACGTATCAAGGTGCTTTAGTTATATCATAATACTTTTGATCGGAAAATTTGAAATTTTTGAGTGGGTCTTTTTAGCTATACCGTATATCTGTAAGGTATAGATTTAAGTAGTAATGTAATGTTAAGTAGGTTCATGTAGGTTTAAGTAAGGATAGGTATTTATTTAGTTTCTGTCTTTATTCTAGTTTTGAAGATGAGGAAAAGTGAGTTAAGTTGCTTTGAGTCGTCGATTGAGGGTCTTCCATTTCATTTTAACATCTGAGCCCCATGTCCATTCTTTTGTCAAAGAAAATTCGTAGATAGTGTCCGGTATCCTTTCGAGAAATTTGGTTGTTTTCGATATAAATTGGAGGTCAGGTATTTCTTCGAAGCCTAAATGCAATAAGTTCCGATTTATCGTGGTTCAGTCGAATTGACCATAATTTGTCTCAGTATTGTAATTTATCTAAGTGATGTAGCGTTAGTGAGGCTTGTGTGATGTCTTGATGATTTGTTTAGTAGCAACAACATTTCAGTGTTAGTTGATATTTCTTGTCTATATTTCTTAGAAAACTACTAATAATAATAAAAAAAAATTATCTTGACCAATTTTAGGAATCACCTTTTATTTATTTTCCTCTATGTGATAAGGAAAGTAGTGTTACACATGAACTGTTTGGAAATAATAAAACTATTGTATAATAATATGCAGATTTTTTTAAATTAAATTGTAACAGTTTGTATAAGTAAAATAAATTTCTATTGCGGTAAAAATTAAAAATCTTATATTTTTTTAAAGAAAAAAAATATAGTTAAAATAAAACGAATAAAAAATTAAAATGTTCGTATTGTGGCAATCATTTTCCAAACGAACGATGTCTTCAATAAAGAAGGAACCCTAGTTGAACACCAGCTTGTTAAGACATCCCATTATTGATAACTTTATATAATACTATACAAATCAATTCATATCATTTCCGCATAAATGACATGTACATTTTCTTTATGTCATCAATATCCACTTTTTTATCTTTGTACCAAATTATAAATATTGCATAAGTAAGCAATAAACTAGTATATCTCTGTGAAAAACATTTAAATTTTTTGTTTTGTTTATACTGCATATTTTCACACCGCACCCAATAATCTTATCTGTTGTTTTTTTGCACTTCTGAATGTTGAGAGTCAAATAAGAAAATATAAATGTCTCATTTGATAAAAAGATCAAAATTCTGACTACATAAATAGATAAAAATAAAACATTACCCATCATATATTTATGATGTGTCTTAACAGCATTGTAAAAAATAAACTAAAATCTACCACAAATTATGAGAAGATTATTCAGGATATCAGCTGAATATAAAGATTTTCTTTTAAAGATTTCCTGTTACTATTTTTGGCTATGACATTACGTCCTGGAGCAAATATTTAATGAAAGAATTTCAGATGTGTTAAAACTTCACAAATTTATTTTAGAAAATTTAATGCTTAATTTTTTATATACTCCAGAAAATATATTACATTATATTATATAAAATAAATATATAATAGTAATAAATTATATTACAATTTTTTTTTTGTACCTTTCAATTTATTTTTATTTATTGTATATATGGTGCGAATAAATTACTGTACTGTATGAATTACTCATGTCCTTAGTTATGATAAAATGTAATATTATTCAATAAAGAAATGTTATAAAAAAATTATCGTTCTTATATTATATTTATATTTGTATAGTTCTTATATTTGTATTCCTTCAACTTGGCAATAAAAGGTTATGAATGAAGTAGATTAGTAATCAGACTTTTCGACCTACTTTGCAGACCTTCTTAAACCATGGGATTTGAAAGATTTGAGGTGGTTTTTGCTACTATCAGGGAAAAATAAAATACAATTAGGAATAAAATAGATGATATGATAAACAATATTGACAACTGTGAAAAGAAAAAACAATTTTACTTTATTTTATTTGATAAAGAACATGCTCTAACTTGGAAAACCTGGAAGAGCAACGATTCCTTACTCTTCCTTACTGAATCACTGATCGCTCACTCAGTAAAGATTGAGTGATAAAGATTTTCATCAGTTCATTTGTGGATAACATCTCTACTGTTCACATCGTCACTCTGATTTTTTCCTGTAGTTTTTAAGAGTTTGGATATGTACGTAGCATAAGTCATTGAGCATTTGGTTCTCATCAGTCAAGCAGTCAGATAGTAATTTCTTATGAAATCTTTTTTTTTTTTTTATTTATGATATTTACAACTGTATTAAGAAAAAATACATTCAGTAATAAGGATAGTGAGGAATTCGATGGCTTTTTGGACCCCCAAAACTTTTAAAAATTTAGAAACTTCTATTTAACCTCCACCATTCCTACTGACTATCGACATTAAGATTCAATTTCGAAATCGATTAGGGATGAATAGTTCATTATCTCTACTTTTTTTTCTGTCTGATTCTGTTCTCATCGATATAATATGGATTTATGATGCGAACTGTAAATTATGAAATAATCCGTAATTTAGTTGCGAAAAAAAAATCATGTTCTGTTCAGATAGTCCGAGGGTCAGAAATTCTCGTGTATGATGAGAAAATCGCCTGTCTAAATAAGGATTAGAAGTAAAATACAGATTAATAAAACAAAACTACTACGTATAATTAAATTTTTATATGCTTAAAGCATTAATGTGAAAAACCTGTTGATTTGCTATGAAAATTAAAAAAAATTATTCTCTCTAAAGCTAAACGAACCATTGAATGATGTATACACTAAATTAAGAGCTTTGAACAGGAAACTTTTTTGTTTTTACGATTAGATCAAGTAGCCATTTTTAGTTTCTATGCTCTTGTGTATACTATCACGTCATAAAAGGAATATTTATTAAGTAAAACTGCTATAAAACTTGAAAAACGTTCATAAAACGTTTTAATTGTAATAGCTCAAAATTTTAATATTAGTTGCCATTTCTTTTATCCAAATTTATTTTAAAACACTTTTAAGTTAAGATTCACTTGTTTCTCTTACTACTCGTAAATGATTGATTTTTATTTTAATACAACTTTTTTTTTCAGGTAAGTTCCAGAACTCATGACCTAACTCATAACATATCTTTAAGGTATAGATGATTTTTATCAAATATTTTCTTTTGTTGTAACGATAAATGTTTCGTTTCATTTAATGTAGTAAACTTATAGACTTATCTTTTTAAATTCATAAAAGTAATAACATAATATAGAATGAATAAATTATGCTAATTCTAATTTAATTAAAATATTCTCGTGGTTATTTTTTTAAATATTTTTATTTTAAAAAACTCCGTTGACTGTGAAGTTGCGTGTTCACAAAACGTTCCTTTTTAATTATTTCAAGTCCGATATGAGTGATGATTAATTAAAAAGGTTAATTGGTGGAACGCATTTTTATTTAATTTTTGGCATTATAAATGTATTCATATGAGGCCGTTATTGAAAGGGGCTACTATGAACTAAACGGTTAAATATGAGAAAATCTTTAAAGACGTTTGTCGTTTGCTAATGTTTATCTAAAACTTATTTCTTGTTAAGTTGCTCATAACTACAAATGACAAATTTTTTATGATATTTTTTTTTGTTTAAATATTAATTTTAACTGTTTATAAAGAATAAAATATTCTGATGTAAGAGTTCAATATTCATCCCCAAAAATTTAAAAATGGTTCATTTCATCTCTTCTTGGATCAATGTGAGAGTGGAACGAGGGTTGCGAGGGATTTCCCTTATGAGTGCAAGTATTCTAAATAAGTAGAAATACATTTTTATTTCGTTACATCATATCGGTTTTATATTTGTTAATTTACTAACATGCAGGGGGAAGCCAGGCCTGGCATATAAGGATTTAAGTTTTGATTTATAAATTAAAAAAAAATGTAATTATAAAAAAATCCGACTACAAAAATCGGGAAATCCTATACACTCCAAGCAAATGTACATTAAAGTGGTAAGAAAAAAGCTTTTTTCGTCGGGAAATTTTCTAATAGCATTTTATGTTTACAAAAAAAAAAAAACGAAATTTCTTTGTTTTATGGTTATATCTTGAAAAAATATTATATATATTTTTTTAAATATTGTTTTTAATAACTATAGAAAGTTTTAATTGACATTGTATAACTAGACTACAAAACTACATGCCACAGTCTATGACTAATGTAATATTGCTCGGTATATGCTACCTGTAATAATACTGACACTTCTTTGATAATATTGGCAGGGCCGCAATGAAAAGGAAAATAGTTCGGAATGCAGCAAATTTTATTTCCCTCAATATTGTTGTTACAATATAGACCTCATTTCCGCTTCACATATTTTACGCCATTTAGTCATGGAAGAGCATAATTTCATATCGAACCTAATTCCTTAAGATCTGGGGCACTATAATGCTTATATCTCTTGGAGGAGGATTACACCGATATCTCTCTCGCAGACTAAATAATCAGTCATCTGCTAATTCCGGAAAGCCAGAATCACTAGCGACTGCCTCCATTGAGATCCCCATCTTTTTTTTAGGAACATGAGTTGCCTCACTGCCTGTGATTGACATCAATCAGATGATTCAGTACAGCTGAGATGGTGAAGCCTGACTCATTGTTCATTGAAGAGTGCGAGAATGTGCGAATCCATTCCTTGAGAGAACTCGGTGATTTACGTGATTCATCGCATCCGTAAATAACATTTTAACTCCTCAACTGCCGCCTGGGTTAGAGGAATCGTGTTATTTTTTTTTAAATCGTGATATGGATGTCAACTGTTTTGGAATCTCTATTCCAAAAAAAATTAAAAAATGAGAGATTTTATAGATATATAATGAAGCTAAGTGGATGTTCAATTGCAATATTTTATTTATATACAAATTTTTAGAGAATAAATTGTCACAGTTCATAATTGGTTATCGCAGCTTTAATACGAAGAAGAAATATAGTAGGATCTTTTTTATTCGTAATGATACACGGTTAGGCTATTCCGTAGAATGCGAAATTCCATATAAACATAAGTTGGTCAGTAAAGGAGGAAGTCTTACTGTTTATGGATTTTTTTCATATTACGTGGAAAATAATATAAACATTTAATTAAGCAAATAATTTCAAATTATATTGATGAGGGATTTTTCTTTGTTTTTCTCGCAGTAATACTTATTATTAATTTTTCTTTTAATTATGATTTATAAAATTTACAATTGTACAAATTAATATACATTCAGCAAATAGATACAGTGAATTACATGGCATGACAAGGATTGTAGAGCATCTACCCATTGGTAGGACTCAAATAATATTAAAATTAATACTTGATTTTATAGCCACCATGAGTAGCCATATATTACCATGAGGAGGCCCTTCACATGAAATTCAATAAAATTCAATTAAACGTTTCTGGCAAGAAGTTCATTACCGTCTTGCTTTCAAGCAGTCTCAAGATAAGGTAACCTTAAATAATATCTACTTTTTCTCTGTCAATCTTTTATAATGTTTGATTATGCCATGTTTTATAAAAAATAATTATTCAAGCCCAATCTTTATTCTAATTTAATTTAATAATAATAATAGGACTTAGGGAATATTTATTATTTTTGAGTTATAAGATTTGTTTTCGAAGATCTGCTGTTTGAACTGCAACACCAAGTATATAAGTAATTAGTCGTATTCATAAAAAAAAAGAAATATTAATAAATTATTTTAGAATGCATCAAAAAGAAAAAGCACAGACTCTATGGACGTTAATCCGGTTTTGGAATATTAAGCTACAAACTTGTTTTGTCTATAAAAGATAGACTTTAAAGTAAAGCACAAAATAATGATGAACATTAAGCGTTGTAGTATCAAGAAGTTACTCCAGTCTCCAAAGAAACATTCGACACGAAATTAATATTCAATGGATATAAATAACTAGCTTATATTGTATTTCATTTAATGGTATGTATTATTCTCAAGCTCAACTTATATGTTCAATAAGGTTTGAAAATGTGGAGCAAAAAATCTATGATGAAAATACAGATATGTTTGGGTGTCTTTGAGACCACTACGTAAAATGACGGTGGAACGATAATGTTATTTTTTTCATTCTTGAGAAACGAGATGTTGAGAAGTGAGAAACAAGTGATTGTAAGGATGCCAAGAAGAGCTGGGACTCGATTAGCAATGCAGCCCGGGCTGCTTTGTGTTTGTTGTCAGTTGTGATTGTTATTCTTCCTCAGTGTTGACAAATGAGCGGCGAACAGGAAGAGGCGCAGGAAGTGCACCGCTAACCCCGTCCTCGAGGTGCCGAAGGGCGCCGATCACGAAGGAGCACTCGGGATGAGTGTGGATCGATTGTGAGCGGGCGAAGGCTGCGGCGAAAGCGGCCTTGGTCGAGAACTCTTCCTTTTGGGACCCCCCGGTTTTTGTACCTCCCTCGGAGCAACACTTAGTCATCCTGTAATAGCCCCATAACTAAATCTCTTTCGCAAGCTTCTTTTCGGTTCTCATTGTTCATCTGGTGGTCTGTGGATGTAACAGAATTCAGGTTTACCGTTTCTTGGATTAACTAATACAAGACGCGATCCTGATAGTTAAACATGGAAATTATATTATTTATTGAATATTTAATAGTTGACCGTTGCATTATAAAGGAAGGAGACGGTCCGGGGGTGCGGTCATTGATAGGCTAAATAGTGGTAAAACTATTTTTATTAAAAGCCAACGCTTCGACCCGACTTTGCAGGTCTTCTTCAGGGCTAGAACGGACAAGATACAAGAAGATAGAGAATTGTGGAAGTTACATAATATTTATACATCCATTGTATCCATCCATATCTTCAAATTTTAGATTCTATAATTTTCTAGGTTTTCCCCCATTACCCAAACAAGTCAGCTTCCTCTGTACCTGGATTACCCTGGTTTTCCAGTTCTAAGTGAAACTCCTAGCTGAACACACCTTTAAGTCTCTAATTTTATTCTTCCAATTTTATTTACTTATTTATCTCATTTTTTTGGTTTTCTTTTCTTTCTCCACATTCCTTTATGTCTATACTTTCATATTATATCCTTTTTCCTTTTCTTTTAATCTCTCCTGTATATCTGTAGAAGTATATTCACATTTGCATTTATTATATATTACACTGCAACAATTGTTAGCATCTATTTACTTCAGTTTAGGATCTTGTTACGTAGCTTACTTTGTTCATATTTTAATGTACTTACTGTTTATAATTTTAATAAGCTTATTCACATTGCTTATAATTTTTGTCTAAATATGTAACTTCCACAATTCTCTATCTTCTCGTATCCTGTCCGTTCTAGCCCTGAAGAAGACCTGCGAAATCGGGTCAAAACGTTGGCTTTTAATGAAAATAGTTTTACCACTATTTAGCATATTTATGAGTGCTCCCCCCCCCCCCCCGGACCATCTCCTTCCCTTATATTATTTATTCATAGTTTTGACCCACCAATTGATTGAATGTCTTTTTTGAAGTGAAAACTTCTTTAGCCACGTTTTACACTTTTTTTTTGGAGAGTGAATTAGATTGATCCATCAGATTTCCGAAGTGTTAATTCTTGAGTAGAATCGGCTAGAAGCTAATTGATTTTTTTTACATATGTATCAAAATATCTCAGAAACTAAAAATCGGGTCTGCATACTGTAAGCGAGGAAATTGTTCAACATTTTATTCTCTCTCTAATAGGCTATAACTAAAAATTATATCTTGACGTGACACTGTGTTAGGGAGACGAAAAGAAAAAAATAGTGCCGAAAACCAAAGGATAACGAGTTTAGTTGAACATATGGATTAAAATATTTCAGATACTAAAAATCGGACCTGTACCCTGTAAGCGAGGGAAATTTTCAGCATTTCATCGTCTTTGTTATGATCAATTATTTATGATTTATATTTCATATTATTAATCTCGCCTTGTTAATATTTTCATGTATACTGTGTGGTCTAAAGCACACATATTAGTTTTTTATTTTTAACCTAAAGAAGGGTTTATTGACAAAATCTGATTGATAAGTAATGTATTTTAATTTATTATATTTCAATATTCGGTATTATCTGAGTCGTTTGTTTCTAATGTTAACCCTAATCATCAATATCAAAAACCGCACATGAATGGTCTCATATCAAATCAGACATCTATGATCTTTAAAAAGCTGAGAAAAACCAACTTTTTGAAATATAGCTTCAATTTAAAGCACTACCAATGATTTTTTTTTTCATGAATCAACTTGACAATTTTAAAATAAAATCATCAGAAACAGTTTGAGTTGAAGCTATAATATTAAAATTGAATTTTTTTCCACTTTCTGAAAATGGGAAGTCTCCGCCTTTTATATGAGGCCACTCATATTTTCTATTTTAATTGTAATATCAGTGTGAATGTTATCTCTGAACACTATTATAAATGTCCTTTGAGACAGATTGTAATATTTTTCAATAAATAAGTTAAAATATAAATTGTAATATCAAAACCAATATTTAAAAAAACATATACTAAGAAATTCTTTAGCATTTATTTCCGAAAATCATTGACCATAGTAATAAATTTGAATAACATTGAATCTTGAATTGGGACGCTCTTGAAAAGAATTAAACTTCAGCGGCTGTTTTTAACAAAAATAAAGATTGATTGTGGTATGGTTTGAGAAAAAAAAGGTTGTATTATTCGAGGAGGGGAAGGAGAAAATCAAAAAAATTTCATTATTAAAAATAAACTTTTTGTTTACAATAACGGTAGAATGAAATTATTTTTTTCTTAATCTTCATTTGAATAAAACTGTTAATTTTTTTTTTTGATAAATTATTGTTTTTATAATACTTAAAAAATTCGTTTCATTTCATTTTCTTTTTTTTTTTTTAAAGAAGCCGGTTTCGGAAATTAACTTATTTTCACATTCCTTTCTTGTAATATTTAAGTTCCAATTTTTATTGATAACATTTTTTTTTATTAATTGATTAATTTTTATTGATAGCACCATCGGATTTATTGGATATTTTCACATGGAAATCGATATTTAGCTCTATTTAAAAAAAAATCGATTTGGGTTAAAAGTACAAATGGCCACTCATTTTATTATTTAGTATAGAAATAACTGCTAAACCTAGGCCGGATAAGTTAACTCAGTCATTAAACAAATGTAAAAAGTATTGTGAAAACCAAACACAAATTTTGATCAACTTCATGTAAAATAATTTTTATTATCGGTCTGATTAGATTTTTTTTTTTAGTTTATCTCTGAATACTTTTTTTTTTCTGTTCTTCCCTACCTCGCTATACGGGATTTTCCCGGACCAAAGGGTGAGGGCGGGGAATTTAAAATCCCCTCTGGCACCGGGACGCGAACTCGTGACTATTTTCATCATAGAATCATATATCCAGTTGCCGGGCAACGGCGGTGCAGTGCACACGCGTTAGGCCATTCGGCCACCCCTCCCGCCCTTATCTCTGAATACTATTGGACAATATTGGATAGTTGTATAAAGTTTCAATTTTCATTGTTCGGCACTGTTGTGTTATAACAATAAAAACTCAAAAAGTCCGAAATTTACCAAATGCATGTTTGCAAAGATAGAGATTATTTGATGTAAAGAAAATTGTTGGGGACGGGACTTCTTCAGAAGAAGAATCAACATTATTATGGGACAAAGTCCCTTGAGAATGACAATATTGTACCTAAAAATTAACATAATATCTGACCAAAATGCATATTACAATAAAAAAAACAACTAAAAAATAAGTAATAACAGAAGTATTTACATAACTATACAGATATATTAAAGACATAATATGAGCAATAAGGTCCTATTACTGCAAAATAGTTGCTACAAACAATAAACTATGGAATCCTAAATGAAATTTGAAATTAACAACAAATTACTTTTGTTGCCATACCACTGTATTAATAAAAAAATAATAATAAAAGAGTGGATAAATATTTACTTTTCTTCGTCATGAGAGTGAAGAAAAGTGATGGAAGCTCAGACGAATTTTAAAAAATATGCAAGATCCGACATGTTTGATAATACTGAGACGATTTAGAAGATTCTTATTAAATATTGTAATGTAATTTATATTACACAAGGTAATATAATTATTTCGCCTATCCGATAGAGCTGTTCGCTTATAACCAAGTTGGCCCGCACTACCTGTGCCGTATCTAATTGATCTAGTGACCTTTTTAATTGGCAGCTCGTTCAGCCCTAATGGATTCTCGCTCGTCTTAACCACTTCGAAGGCCCATCTCAACCCCAACCAACCATCCATATATATATATATATATCCTAATTAAATATCTTAAAAATATGATCAATAATAAAATATACGACAAATGGTCGACGTCCAATATAGGCCAGTCGTATTTTATTCTTCATATTCTTGTTTTAGTATTCGACTATAACAAACCGTTTAAAATTTCTCGAATTTCAGGTTCAAATCATGTTGGTACATGTTAGTTTTTTCCTCAATTATTTGTTCTTCTCAGAAATCACTAATTAATTTTCTACCGATGAATTCACAATATGTAACTCAAAATGACACATGCCATTTTATGTATAAAAAATATTTACACCTAAAGAGGAAGGTTCTGCCTTCATTTAGAGAAAAATTATAAATATACTCAGTAATTTAATACATTACTCAATGGTTTCTTGCATAAGCCAATGTTCGATTCGCACTGTTATGAATTATAATAAAAATGTTAAAGAATATAATTTTCAATCTTTTTATCATTTATATTATAAGTTATTTTTCTGCTGATATTACCTAACATTTTCAGTTAATACATCACCATGGATTTTCATCGAATTTACATCATTAGGGCACATGCTTTCTGATGACGACAATGCTTAAAAGGTCATAGAGAAAACATTGGGTTTTCTGAAATATATATATATATATATATATATATATATATATATATATATATATATATATATAAGATAAAAAAATTTAAGTATGTTTTGTTAATTTACTGCTAAGAATCACCAAAAAAACCGCCAAAATTTATTCTGTTCCCAAAAATCCCTAAACTTTGAAATCTAAATGTATATATTTATGAAATACTATTGTTTAAATGCCAATAAAATGAATTGACTTGAGTAATGTGTCATTTTCTTTTAATAAATTAAATCGTCATAATTATTTTTTTTAATACATTAAATGTATTATATATGTTTTTGTACATACAGTTCGAAACAGTATCATCATTCTTATAATATTCCATAAAATTGTTTTGATAATAAAATAAAGTGGTATTTAAATCGACGAAACTAGATCATGCCTCCACAGTACCTAAATCCGGCAATGACGTACAGGGACCAAAGGAATGCACCAGAAATAGGAATATTTTTATATAACGCTTCAAATTATACAATTAAATAAATCGAATTATAATTACACTTGCTGATGATTGGAGAATAAATTCAAAATACTTCAGT